CAGTAGTGACAAATGGCAGAATGAGGACCCATCATCTAAAGTTACAGTGTGGGAGTCTAGATTGGTATTAGGAAAAACTCTATTTTCTAGGAGGGTTGTGAAGCACTGAGATGCAGCGGGGGGATGAGAGTGCTGTGGGGCCCAGGGCAGCACAATTTCGCAGGGCCTCCCCCTTTGACACGGCGCATGCGTGGGGCCTTGGGTAGCATGGGACCCAGGACAGCCGCCCCGTTTGCCCTGCCCTAAATCTGCCGCTGTCTCCAGTATTTGCTTAAAATGTACTGTTTCTATAAACATTCCTTTAGTAAACTTATTAGTTAAAATATTTACAGACAGCACTAAAAGAGAGCACATATATAGACACATCAAATTCAATTTTCTGTCCTAGTATATACACTTGTTGAAACATTTTAAGTATGTTCCCAGCTCTGTTAAGTAATTTGAGTTCCACAGTACTAGTGATATATTAACAAATACATATTAGAAACCCGCAAAAGTTATTCAACATAGATTTTCTAAATATAATTACACACAAGTTACCTTAAAAGAACAGAGGCAGCAAGGGGGAGCAGGAGCCAGTGCTGGAGGCAGGCAGCTTCAAAGCTGGCTTCCACCAGCACTGTCTCCATGGTGTGTGGAGGGGAAGCAGGAGAGACAGAAGTGCAGTGATCCAGGAACAGGCAGGAGCTGGGACTGCTCGTAGAATCTCAAATCGACAGATTTGATACCGGTACCCTGGGCTTGAACAAAAACATTAACTGGTTAATGCAGTACAAAGCTCATTTCCCCTGCCTTTGATATTTGCATTTTCACATCAAAAGCAATGAAAGGGACACATTTAGCCTCGTTACGGCACTTCATGAACACAGGTTCTACAATTGACAGGAAACTACTTTTGCTGTACTATTTACCATACAGTCTGTTGTTTCCGCTCCAACACACCAATGAAGTGGGTTTCACCCACAAAACTTCATGATCATAGATACATGAAGAAAAATCTATATTTGTTAGTCTCTACCGTATCCAAGTCTGTAGCTGGGGGAGGGGGCATCCTGATTTTTTTTTTTTTTAAGAGAGCGCTAATTCCTTTATTCAAATGTCATATGCTACTTAAGGAAATTCCCTCTGAGAATCTGTGCATAGCTCACCTTATCCCTGACACCATTATGACGGTTAACGTTGCACAGAAACATCGGTAAACTTGGCCGGTTTTCCATGACCCTATGCTACCTGGTAGAAACGCGGTGTCCATCCTTTAGTGGCCATCTCTTTGTGCACCCAGTCTTGGCATCTCTGGTTTTCATTTCTGGATCCCTCTGTTAGACTGTGATGGTCTAACAGAGGAGAGAGAGCTCAGTGGTTTGAGCAGTAACCTGCTAAACCAAGGGTTGTGAGCTCAAACCTTGAGGGGGTCATTTTGGTATCTGGAGCAAATCCGTCAGGAATGGTTCTTGGCCCTGCCAGGAGGGCAGGGGACTGGACTTGATGACCTCTCAAGGTCCCTTCCAGCTCTGTGAGATAGGTGTATATCTCTGTACACCAATGGGAATAGATCTGTCACCATCAAGAGACACTCTGGAGGAGCTCTGTAGCCTTTTGAGGTCAATGAACACTCAACCATCTGCATCTCAGTTCTTACTCGATTCATTCCAGTGGAGGCTGTTCCATTCCTGATTACTCCATTGACCTGTAGATGGTTTTGAGATCAGTGCAAATCCCTGGGCATCAGAGAGTCCATTCTACACAGACCTAGAGCTCCATACTTTTATTCGAGACCCATCTTCCCACCCTTCCAGTATTGGACGTTGTCACGGGGGGAGGGGCTGTGCCCATCCACACAGACATGGCTGGACCAGGGATGCTCCCACCTCTGTTGGGAAATGACACCTCCCCCACTAGCCAGGGACCACCTCGACAGGGGATGTGGCTCTTAAACTGAATGGGGCAGACGTGTCTGTCACTGGACATCTGCGTGTGTCGGAGGGGGAAGAGATCCTTTGGGTGTCAGGTACACCAGGCCTGAGGTGCGAGGCTGGTCTCAAGAAGATCAGAGCCACCTGGCACACAGAGGACAGGGTGTGATTGCTCACCCAGCAGATAATGCTCCATGAGGATGTTTACAGCCCTGTTTCTGACTCTGGTGGTTGGGGAGGGGCACTGTTACTCACATCCTCCACCAGGGCCAGGCGGTGGGTGGCCGTGTTAGCCACATCCTCAGGCAGACAGAAGGACAGGGGCCCTGTTGGCCATGGTGCCAGGCTAGGGACTGGGGCAGAGGAAACCCCCTGCTAGGTGGGTGCGGCTGTGACCTGGAGGTCACCTTGACCCATGGCACATCTCAAATGGATGTTCCTGGAGTGTACGTGGCCTGTGGTTAGCAGACCCAGCCCCCCCTCCTCTCCTGCCTGGTCCATATAAGCATCAGGCGGGAGGGAGCGGCTCCGTGCCCAGCCCAGGATGCCTCTGACGATGCAGCGCTTGGTGCTGGGGCTGCTCCCCTGGACCTTCCTCCTGCCCCCGGGGGGCTGGGCTGGTGAGTGGGGCAAGGGCGCTGGGGGTGTGTGGAGAGGGGCCCATGCAGGGTAGGGGGCTGTGGGGTGAGTGAGGGTCTTCCCCTGAACTACCTGGCGCAAGGGCCTATTGGGACCCCTGCAGCCTCCCCTGAGTACCTCTGGGGCTCTCAGCCTGTGGGGGTGGGTGGATCAGCCCCCAGAGGGCTTCTCTGAGATGTCACTTTCAAGATGTGCACCCTACTTGGAGATGGAATGAGCCACCGGCAGGGCAGCTGGGGAGTTACAAGGAGCAGATGGTGGAGAGAGGCAAGAGCAGGGAGCTAAGGGGAAGGGCTCGGACCTAAGAAACTTGGGATCCTTTTCCAGCTCAGCCCAGGATCTTGTGGGGGAAATGAAACCTGTCTCCGGGGCTTTTGTTTCCATGGGTTGCTAGTGGAGATTTGGCACCTAAATACAGTTCCCCGTTGAAAGATGAAAATGATTCTGTTTCTGAACTCAACACTGTTCAGGGAAGGGGTTGTGGGTCAGCGCAGTGACTATCCCAGTAAGAGGTCCCTGACCTGGGTCTAGGTCCCACCATAAAGCCAATCGGTGTGATTCCTTAAAGAGGAGATTTTCCAACACTCCCGCCTGCTGGCCTGGTGCCTTCTCGGAGCAGATCCTTGTTTTCCCCAGAGACATTCTCACTTGGCATTTTTCAATCCCAACACTAACATTTTTCAGCCACCAAAGCCTGAAAATTGTCCTTAGAAATATCTCAGGACTGGAAGGAAAGAACTAGGAGCAGAAGAAAAAAAAATACCCAGGATGGAGGGGAGAGAGAGTTCCCTGGCGTAGGGTTCATTCAATAAAAGCCACTTCCCCTGGCACCAGTATTTCGGTGAGTCGGGCGTGGAGTCGGCCTCATCTCTGTGGTTGGGTGGAGAAACATGCAGAGAAGCTCCGTCCGTGCCCTGCTGGGGAGTGGCTGGACCAGCCTGGGGTGACTTTGGCCCACAGTGCGGTGAGCACAAGGCGAAGCAGGGTGAATAGTGCCCCGCTCCCGATTTGCCCACTCAGTGAGGTTAGAGTTGCAGATTTCCCTTCCAGCCAATGCGGGCCCGGTGTGGGGCAGAGCTGGGCAGGGGGCAGAGATCCAGAGACACGGATGCTCTGAGGGAGGATCAGAGAGGGAGGGAAGACCCTTTGAGGCTATCAGTGTGGATGGGGAGTTGGATCCCAGCCCAGCGAGTTGAGGGGGCTCTCTGTATGGACCTGGCCTCCCCCCAGGTGAGATCATCGGGGGGAAAGGAAGCCTGGCCCCACTCCAGGCCCTACGTGGCGTATCTGGAAATACAACGCAGAGATGAGAGGATTAGATGTGGTGGGTTCCTGGTGGCGGAGAACTTTGTGCTGACGGCTGCTCGTTGCCAGGGAGAGTAAGTGCCTCTGGGCTGGGACATGACGGTAGGTGGGGTCAGCGTGAGCAGGGGAGCTGGGAGCTCTGACCCCGGTGTAGCGGCAAGGGGTGGCCAGGTTGGGGGAGAAGAGCCCAGGGGTCTGATCTGCTCAAGGGGGTTTTATTGAGTCTCTAGGGGCCTCTCAACCCAAGGCCCAGCCCCAGCCTGGGTACATCAATGGGATTGTAGTGTGGGGCAGGGATGCGTCATAGACTCAAGACAGGTCTATGGGGTGTTGGGCTGGGGGGCTGGGCATGGACCCCTGCCTGGATCAACTGGGAGGGGGGAATTGGCTGGGGGGAATGGATGCCCAAGCTCAAAGACAACAGAATGAATCTAAGATCCTGGCCCGAGAGCCCCAGGCTGCCCCGTTCCCACAAGCCCAATGTTTATGAGCCAGAAACACGTTTCTGACCCCTGCCCCTAACACCCCACGTGCTGCTCTCAGCTTTCACAGAAGCATCACTGTCGTCCTGGGAGCCCATAACGTCAGCCAATGGGAACCGAGCCAGCAAGTGATCCCTGTGCAACGGCAGATCCCCCACCCGCAGTACAACAGCAAGACCTTAAACAACGACATCATGATACTGCAGGTACCACCCCATCCCATCCCCCACCCCAGTGACCTCACACTGCTGCAGGTACCACCCCATCCCATTCCCCACCCCCCGTGACCTCACACTGCTGCCCATACCAGCCAGGTTTTGACTGCAACACTCCTATTTAACTTTGTTTCTTTTCTCCCAGCTGGAAAACGTTGCGGTCCTGAACAGATGGGTTGGTACCCTCGCCCTGCCCTGCTCCGGGGAGAGAGTTGCACCGTGGACCACTTGCAACGTTGCTGGCTGGGGCCGGACTCTGCCCACTGTTGATTGTCTCTCGGACACGCTCCAGGAAGTGGACGTGGTGGTGGTGCCGGATGCCACATGTCTGAGACACCCGTACAAGCCGTACCGTCACTATAACCCGTGCAGCATGATGTGTGTGGGGGACCCAGCCTTTCTGAATGACTCGGCCAAGGTGCCTCCCGCCCCTCGTGTTCACCCCTCTTGAGAAGTGGTTGGGATGGATGAAGCTGCTCTAACCAGAAAATGTTGGACTAAGTGGTGGAAAAGCTAGTGGGGAAGTGTCGCATCTTACGGGGAAGCAGCGACCAGCAGGACAGTGTAAGGGGGGGCTGAAGGTGGGTGATGGGAGGGATCAAGTGGAGACCGGGGGGGTGTTGCTGATCCGGGTATCAGCGAGAAACGACTCCTTGAGCTCTTTTCCATCTGTGGCTTCTCCTGTTTCGCAGGGCGACTCCGGGGGCCCCCTGGTGTGTGGGGGAAAAGCCCAGGGCATCGTCTCCTGGGGGATTTGCAAAGCTCCCTCCGTGTACGTAAAAGTCTCCACCTTCGTCCCCTGGATCGAACGCACAATGAGGAGGCTGCAGCCCGGAGCCCGGCTGTGAATCGCTGCCCCGGACGGAGCTGCGCTGCCTCTATGCTTTGGAGTAGACAGATGTAGGGCTGCTTTGCAAGGGGCTCCCCCTCCCCCATTTTGTACCCCCAAATCACTGCTATACTCAGGAAGCCCCCAGCCCATAAGCATCAAGGAAGAGAGCCTAGGGGAGTTAGGAGCTGCATTCAAGCCCAGTTCCCATTGGTAAATCCCAGTTGTGTGGCCTGCCTCTTCCCAGGTTCATGTCCTCTGGGCAGACCTGGTGGTTTGGGGATCTCCCCACCAGTCAAGTGATGTTTGTGGCAGATCTTCACCATCCCCTGCGCTGCTGGGCCACGTTTAACCTGCTGCCTGCCCTGTGTTCCATGGGCCCCCAACCCGTTACAATGAAGACAGGAGCCTAGGGGAGTTAGGAGCCAGGCTTAGGCAAAGCTCCCATAGGGAAATCCCAACCCACTGGCTGCCTTTCCCTGCTGGATTTCTCGTGGGGTTCTGAACCCAAGCCCAACCCTGGGGTAGACCTGGCCGTTTGTGGCTTTCCCCCGCATCAGCCGGTTGATGAGGTTTCTGGCAAATCCTCACCATCCTCCACCCTGCTGGGCCACGTTAAACCTGCCACAGTTGGTTCCCGGGGGCAATGTCCGTTCCACACACCCCTGAGCCCTGCGCCGGCCAGGCAGCTGGAAGGGACTGGAGCAACAGCCATGCCGAGCAATTTCAGATCGATCCCCAGGGCTGATCCCTCTTTCCCACCTCTCTCAGCCTGCCCCACCCCTGCCTTGCTGCATTTTGCTCCCTGTTTCATGGTCAGCACTGAATAAAAATGAAGTTCCAAAAAAAGGCGACTGTGGGTCTGAGTGATCACCCCGAATTGCAAAATCCAGAGCAGCTGCTGCCTTGGCCAGGGATTGGGTAGTGGTTGGGGGTGTCACTCCTATGGGGGAAGGCTGGGCTTGTCTGAGCAAGGCTGTTCCCCACTCTGGCGTTCCAAGTGCAGAAGGTGGGGCCCACAAGAGATCTTAAATCCCTTGTCTCCATGGGCTTCTGCTTAAAATCTCCCCTAAGTCACAGATCCCCTGGCTATGGGTGATAACTCCCACCAGCAAGGGAACCAAAACCCCCTTTATTCTTGAACCGAACGAGAAAGCACTTTGAACTTCTACAAGAGGGGCACCCCCTAGCTCCTTTACTGCAAGAGTCCAGACTAGGGCGCTGAGCCGACAAACAGCTGATGAGCTGTTTGTTGGCTCAGTGCAGCAGCCATTTAAATTTAAATGAAGCTGCGATTATTTAAATCGCGGCTTGATTTCCCTTTGCCGATCAGCCTCATCTACATGACTCCATCGATGGAGCCATGTAGTTTAGACACACCCTAAAAGTTGACCTCTCTGCCTTAGGCAGGCACACACAGACCTCCTGGTACCTGCCAGGCCAGAAGAATCCAGCTGTTGCCTCAAAAAAAGGAGATTTTAGGAACTAAACAAAAGATGTACTCGATAAAGCATTCCGCGTTGCCGGGTGTTACAGAGCAACTGAGAGAGAACAGATTAAAACAGAGAGAACACAGTACCTCTGGGCTACAGTTTAAAACATACAGGCTGTGTCTACAGTGGGCCATTGATTCTGGAAAAGCAGCCGCTTTTCCGGAATAACTTGCCAGCTGTCTACACTGGCCCCTTGAATTTCCGGAAAAGCACTGACGATCTACTGTAAGAAATCAGCTGCTTTTCCAGAAAAACTATGCTGCTCCCGTTCGGGCAAAAGTCCTTTATCCGGAAAACTGTGCCGGAAAAGGGCCAGTGTAGACAGCCCAGTAGTCTTTTCCGCAAAAAAGCCCCGATCACGAAAATGACGGTCTGGGCTTTTTTGCGGAATAGCGTCCGTGGCCAATGTAGACGCACTTTCTCCGGAAATAGTTATAGCTTAAAATGGAACAGTTTTCCATATTTCCGGAAAATCATGCCAGTGTAGACGTAGCCACAGTGTACAGGGGCCCACAGAGAAGTTGATCCAGAACACAAGACAAAGAAAATAACCGGATCTGTGTCCAAGGTCCAGTTCAATACCCCATATTCCTTGTAGGCCTGGTAGTCCTGCCTGGTTCAATTCCGCTTCTTCCCCCAACTCCTGGAACATCTAGTGCCCATACATCTATTGGAGAATCATCTCCCCACCCTTCCAGTTACGGACCCACCTGCCAGTTGGATGTTGCTGGTTGCTCCAGTAGGGGTCGCTGACCTGACCCAGAGCCTCCACGGGGATTGGTTGGGACCTTCTACACAGATATGGCTGGACCAGGGATGCTCATGGTTCTGTGTGATCCATTCCCTGGCGGGAGATGACACCTCCCCCAATGGCCAGGGACCAAATGGACAGGGGATGGGGCTGAGCTCTGTTGAGGGCCGACACACTGAATGCGGCAGAAGCATCTGTCACCCGACACCTGGCGTGGGGGTAGCGACGCTTTGGGTGTCACGTACACAAGGTCGGAGGTGGTAGGCGGGTATCAGGGAGATCAGAACCACCCATCTCTCTCACACAGTGGGCAGGGTGTGACTTCTCACCCCGCGCCGATACTGATCTGTGTTGTGCACAGACCATGGGGATGGGGAAGGGCAGAAAGAGGGAAAAGGAGCTGTGATAGTTGCACAGACATGTACTAGGGCAGGTGCGGACAAGTCCTTTGGCCTGACGGTCGCATCCTGGACCTGACACTGGATGGGGGCACGAATGGGGATGTTACCACCCTGGGGGAGGTGCGGTCTATGGGGCGCAGTTGGGGGAGGGGCTCTAAGAGGGAGGTTACTTATGTGGGGATATGAGGATTCATGGGGTGTGGCAGGGGAGCTGTATGGGGTACACCAGCCCTCCCCGCTTAGTGCCACCCGATGCCCTAGGCTGGCTGTGTCTCCGCCATACCTGAGAAGCGCACGGCCCCTGTGTTGGGGGAGCTGAAGCTGGGGTGAACGGTCCAGATGGGGAGGAGCTGGGGACCATCCTGAGGTGGGAGCTCAGGGCGCTACAGAAGGGACTGTTATGGCACGTGAGCCAAACTTTGCTCCCTCTGCCCTAGAAGGAAAAGGCCCCGGGTCTCCTACTGCCAGCAAGTGGGTCCGGTCTCTGGAGTGAGCAGAGGGGCAGGAATTGTCCCTCCTGGCCCCCCTGAAATCTCGGGTCTGTGACATCTCGCTGCAGAAAGGCCCGGGAGCGTTTCTAGCACCAGTGGTTGTGCAGGTCAGCGTTAACCACATCCTCAGCCAGGGCCATGCAGTGGCCGGCCGTGTTAGCCACATCCTCCGGCAGATGGACGGGGA